ATGCAATAAAATCATGTATGCCATAATATTAGTTCAATACAAATAAAAGTCCTTACATGGCACAAATGATTAAGGGCTGGACAACTAACCTAAAGATTGGTGGGTCAGGCCTACAGAGATGCACCCTGAAAAGAGCTCTAGTGACCTCCTTCTGAAAGGTCTCGCCTTGAAAATGCTATGAAGTGTTTATTTTGTTTACATTGAATTGCCATGCATCAGAATCAACTGAAATGCAACTAACAACGACAGTAATATTATTAAGGAAATGGGTAGTTAGTTTATTGTGCCAACCTGGTCAATAAACACGTGTGGTGTTAATTGAAGGACGGAGGGATAAATGGCTCAGTGAGCCTCACCTTTCTAGTTCTCAGGTCTCTTGCTTTGTGATAGTCAGACCAGGGTGCAGCTGCCTTAGCCATTTCCTTTCTTCAGCTGGCAAGGCTCACTTCATGCAAGACATCTCTGAGGATGTCTTGGACCTACTCTGATGCAGCCACATGGACCTACTCTGATGCAGCCCAGGGTGCTGGAGCAGCCGCGTGGAGACCCCTGCCAGTACTGAGATGCTTACATGTTCACTGATTTGGCTTTCCTCCTGCAGTCGGCATCATTGCATCTGTTTTGTGAGATGGAGGAGGACTTTGTGGATTGGTGTTGGAAATATGGGTTAATAGGTTAATGTTAGACTTGTGGGCTTGGGCAGCTCTGCATTGGAATGTTTTCTTGATGTGCACTTAACCTTTATATAAAACACTCACTTATACATGAGTTCCTGTGGATTTGTTTCTTTAACGCACCCAGACTAATACAGGAAATTAACAAGTTTAGATTTATTTTTATTTCCCACCTTCTGGGCTGATGTCCTTTTCTCTTTGGTTTTGAGATCCAATGCAGACTGGCACATTTCATTTACCTGCCAGGCCTCTCAGATTCCTACAGGTCTCATTCTCAATTTGCCTTTGTCTTTCATGACCTTGACATTTTCATGGGAATTCCACTGCCATGGGGCCAATTCCTACTCTTGGCAGTGAGGAAAGACAGAGAGAACTCCTCAGAGGGTTTCTAAGTTGATAAGCTTGATGGAAGCAGAGGCTGCATCTTTCTCCAGTTGACTGGCTGATACATCTTGCGTGCCATCTTTGCATCTAGCCGGTGCAATGAAAATAACATGTGATCTCATGATCTTTCTTTGTGCTTCCCAGATGGCTAATGATACTGAGCATGCTTTTTATGTGTTAACCAGATATTTCTCATAGCTTTATTGGTAAAATATGTGTTCATATCTTTATCCATTTTTGACTGGGCTATTTGTGTTTTATTGTTCAAATGTACAAGTATTGTATATTAGATGTTAGAAACATATTGGTTCTATTGCTCCAAAATGTCTTTTTCCAAGTTGATAGGTTATCTTTTGAAAAACATAAATATTTAACCTTTATGAGGTTATAATCTCCTTCTACCTTTGTTTATGGTAATCCAGCATTGGAAACATTTTGGACCATAATTTTTCTCCCAGTTGTCTTCTATTGTTTATGGTTTTATATTTTATGTTTGGGTCATTGGTCCATTTTGAATTGTTTTTGTATGGTGTGAGGTATGAATGTTGCTTCATTTTCCTTCATGTGGAATTCTACATTTGTCAGCACAGATTGTTAAAGAAAGAGTTCTTTATCATAGAATTAATTTAGCTTTCTTGTCTAAAGTCAATTAAACATACATATTTTTATTTAAATGTATCAAATATAATCCTACGACTTAGGTACAACTCACAGTTACAAAATCCTCGGTAAAGCCTATTATATTAGAATATCAAGGTCATAAAGTTTGTTCTCAATTACAAAAAGGAACTACTTTGTGACAAACTTTAAAATAGTATTATTTTAGTATTACATAAATGATGTATGCGGAAATATTTGTTTAATATTCTATATATTATATGTAAAGAAAACATTTGACTGAAGTTAGATGTGAATTCACATCTGTTCTGACATGTACAATATTGTCCTAATGACAGGTTAAGTAAGGGGCAGATTTTGTTCACAATCCAGGGACTGCCTGTAATTCTGGGTTTTCAATTCTATTTCATTGTCTCTGGCTTCTATAGTTTCTGAGGAGATTTTACATTAATTCTCATCAATAATGTTGCTAGTTATCCTGTGTTTTTATCTTTCCGTTTTCAACTTTCTCCTTTGTGTTGAAATCCCATATTCAAGAATTTTATTATAATGCTCTTTGGTGCAGCACTTTTTTGTATTCCTCTTCTTGGAGTTACCTTAGCTTCCTGAATTTTCAGGCATGATTCCTCATTTATGTTTGAGAGAGTCTCCACTATGTGCTCTTGGAAAATTCTTTATATGCCTTTTTTACTATCTCGTTCCGGAATTCTGAAAGTCATAATGTCGGATTTCATAATTGAGACTCACATTTCAATTTGGCTTCATTCACCTTTCTTTGCTCTTTCTCTCTCTAAATGAGACACAATCAATCCAGTTATTCTGTCTTCTAGTTCACTTATTCTATCATGGTTTACTTGACCTTTTTTTCCCCCAATTCATCTATTGTATCCTTCAATTCCAGTACTTCTCTTTGTTTTGTGTTTGGTTTTTGTGTTTAATGTTTTCAATCTTTTTATTCTGTTACTCATGTTCCTACCTATCACTATTAACTTGTGTTTTGTATGGGGTTCTTTGCTTTCTAAGAATATAGCATTATTTATTGTCTGAGGGGTCTCAATTGTTCCTTAATTTAGCCTCCATTGCAGTAATTTATGCCTCTTCATAGTTTTCTCTTGATTTGACTATCATCTTTATTTTTGTATGCTTTATACTTTCTTTTGTTAATTGAACAGAGGCCATTTACACTTCTTACTATGAAAATGAAAAGCTCAAAATTTTCTATTTTCAATTTATATAGGAATTTGTTACCTTTCATTTCCACCTTCTTCTAAATTCCACTAGAGGGTATTTTGCCCCTTTTGCTCCTGCGAGCACTGACTCAGTCATGCAGGGAAAATGCACGCCTATTTCTTATTTTAGTGAAGGGTTTATGATGTGTTCTTTTGGGGTATAAGACTCTAGCAATGTTCACATATTTAGCCATTTAAACCATTTTAAGTTTCTGTGTGTTAGATCTTGGAATTTTTCTGATAATGACTGTCATCACTGGGATATGAACTTCCCTCTGGGGCCCATGCACTTGGATGTAACCTTCCATAGGAGCCTGCAACACCAGGGTGGACTTTGTTCACATTTGTTTGTGGTGGTCAGAGCAGGGGTGGCCTCCCTTTGTGACTGATGGTATTTACATCCAATATTTTTGTCTTCATCCCCAAATGCTGCAAATAGCTGAGTCATCAAGGAAGGATTTTGGTGGTCTGAAAATCTCAGGCTTTCCATTATGCCTTATCTCTCTCTTTTGATGTGACATTCACGTATGCTCTCCATCAGTTTAACTGCTGTCCAGAGCGCCATTTCATCTCTAGTCATTTTTAAATGTCTTCTTTATCGACATAGCTATAGATGGATGTGAGATTGCAATTATTTACACTGTCATCCTGCCATCTTTGGCTGGTAAATCTATTTCTACTGGTGATAAATAATAAAAAATTAATAAATCGTATATTTTGAAACATGGAATACAGCATTGAAATGAGTGGACTAAAAATCTCTGCATAAAAATATAAATAACTCTGACAAGAATGCATTGAAACACTGAGTTCATGTACTTTTAAAAAATTAAGGATACAGACATAGTGGATAATCCTAAGGACAAAGGCAGTTATAAGATCATAATAATAAAACAGGATGTGATTTAGCTTTAGAAAACAAAGAGACTGGAATCATTAAGGACTCACAGAGGCCCAAGGTCTTGTTTTGTTCTTTTACTGAAACTGAGAGGTAATTATAGGGCTCTTTCCTGAAGTTTATTTATGTAAGACGTATATTTTGTGTATTTTTATAGAATATGTTACAATTTGTTTTTATCAAATAGAGAAAAGAAGTGAATATCAGAATTAAGAGCACCTACAGACACTGCTTATTCTGATATTAGCTTCTTTTCTTTATTTGATTAAATTGGAGATCTGGTGGCCTAGTTTATATTCATTGGATTGCTTATTGTTCAAAATGAGCAGCCCCTGCTCCAGAGAAGAAGCTCATAGATAGTATAATATATAATATATATATGTATGCTTTGTGGGAGAAAGACTGGCTTTCTACTCCCCTAAACAGCTACAGTTCGCAAACGCACAGGAGGTCACTATGAGTCATCATTGAATTGATGGTTTTGTTTTATACATATATGTAATACTATGATTTATATGTACTATACTTAAAAACAGTAAACTGTATTTGTGAATACATTTGGAATCAAGTTGGAAGTTAGTACAGAAACTAGAGATAAATATAAGAATTGGAAAGTGATAATTGTATTTTGAATAACTAGACTAATACTGAAAATAAAATAAAATGACTTATTTGATCATAGCAGTGGAAAAAAATCAAATACCAAAATCTATATAAACTGTGGACCTCATTATTTATTTATTTATTTGTTTATTTTAACAGGAATCAGCATTTCAAGTAAGGATATTAGATTCAACATGCTTGTAGTGAAGAACTAATTGGAGCAAACGACGTTATATTATCCATGGTATTTTACAACACAAATCGGTGGTCTTTTCTGATCCTATTCCCAAGAACATTTCAAAAATAAAGGACAATATTACATTAATTGAAAAACAGTTGTGGGAAAGTGCAAAAAGCTACAAAACAAGACTATGTATTATAAAATTAGATTAATATTTCAGAAAAACTTACTCTTAACCAGACCTATAGTGTACATAAATAGAGGTGAGATTATCAGGTGTTTAATAAGATCAACTATGACATAAGAGAAGAAGACAACTATTAACTGTCATTACTGGATTTTCTAGCAAATGTCGGAGGTCATGTGATTTCACACAACTTTTCTAATTTCAACATTAATTAGGTGAAATAGAGCAGAAATACAAGTCAATGATGAGAAACCATACATCAGTGACTACATTCATACTTCTGGGACTGACAGATGATCCTCAAATGAACGCTCTGGTGTTTTTTGTTTTGTTTGTCACTTACACACTAAGTGTAACTGGAAACCTGACCATCATTGTACTCGTTTTGGAGGATCCCCGTCTTAAAACTGCCATGTACTTTTTCCTCAAAAACTTTTCCTTTTTAGAGATTTCGTTCACTACTGTCTGTATTCCAAGATTCCTATATAGCCTATCAACTGGGGATAAGAGCATTACCTATTTTGCTTGTGTTTCTCAAATGTTTTTAGTCCTCCTCTTGGGAGCTACAGAATTTTTTCTCCTGGCCCTCATGTCCTATGACCGCTATGTGGCCATCTGCAAACCCCTGCATTATGTGACCATCATGAATAGTAGAGTCTGTGGAAGGCTAGTTTTCTGCTGTTGGACAGCAGGGTTTTTTTTCATCATCATACCACTTATTCCAGGTCTTTCCCTGGAGTTCTGTAACTCTAATGTCATTGATCATTTTGCCTGTGATGCTTCTCCTCTCCTGAAGATTTCTTGTTCAGACACATGGGTTGTAGAACAGATGGCTATAGTGTTTGCCATCATCATCTTGCTCACAACTCTCCTGTGTGTAGTTCTGTCCTATTCCCTCATCATCAAGACCATCCTAAAGTTCCCGACTGCTCAGCAAAGGAAGAAAGCCTTTTCTACCTGCTCTTCCCACATGATTGTGGTTTCTATAACTTATGGGGGTTGTATCTTCATTTACATCAAACCTTCAGCAAAGGATGAAGTGGCCATTAATAAAGGTGTGGCACTGCTCACTACTACCTTTGCCCCTATGTTAAATCCATTTATTTACACCTTGAGGAACAAGCAAGTGAAACAAGCTTTCATGGACGTCATCAAAAGAATTTCATTCATCTTCAAAAAATGAAGGAATGTTAATATTGCATCTTCAGCTTATCAGGAAAAAACAATAGGTTTTAATAAATTACTAGTATTAATATTTTTATTATTTTATTTCTTTTTTTCTTGTATTTATCTATATTTCATATCTTTCCTTTCACTGCAAGTGAACTTCCTCCACAATGATATATCTCTCAGAGGATATGAAATAATAGTCTGGGTAATGGTCCATTACTCAAATCATTCTTAAAATCATCAAAAGTATTTTATCTTCATGAAAATGAAAATGAAAATTAATAAATTACTGAATTATCAGGGGACAAGGAGAAGTACTGTACATTTTTTCTTTAAGTTGAAATATTCATATAACAGACCACACAGTGTGTGTCTATATATATATATATATATATATATATATGTATATATATACATATGTTTCAAATCATTGTAAAATAATTTCATTATCCTTTAATAATTTTAATATGCATACAAATTCTTCTAAAACATAAATAGTATTTAATAATTCATTAATATAAGACAATTAGAATAAGTACAATGAGCATATTTTAATACTAAATCAAAGGCACAAATTTAAAACAAAGAATCTTCTAGCTGGAAAAAGAGAACTTGAACGCCTCATGATTGAGAGCGGAGATTCTTAGGTTCTCTCTAAAAGGACAGGAGAAGTGGCAGTGTAGCGGGTTGGTGTTGAGCACCCAACCCAGGAGCCCTCCTCAGGGGAAAGATGAGACTTTCTACCTCCATGAGGAGTCATAGCTTCAGCAGCCAACAAGGGCAGTGTTCCTCTGTGCGAAAGGGTCCCTGGGGTGTAACTCAATTGACTTCAAGTCAGGCTAACTCAATTTGTCTCCTATGCTTCTTTCTTTGACTCCAGTAATGGGTATTGCCTCTTCCTGACCCTAACTCCTCCATAGTAATCTCATTAAGAACTTCTTCAAAGCATTCACTGCTGATTATGGGGTCAAGTTCTCTTTTAGCTGTCTACTTACCCTCTGTGTGCTTGAGAGGCCCACTTTCAAGGGTTGTTGTGCCCAGAGGAAACCTTTGACCCCTCCAGAGTGGCTTGGGTCAGGGTTGTGTTCAAGGGAGAGTGAGGCCATCCCAACCAGTTGCCACATATTGACCAGTGGTTTGCCCTCCTAGAATTTTCAACTCTAGGAGTTGAAAAGCTGCATGGCATTTGCACCCAAAACCTGAATTTTGCTTTCCCAATCCCAAACCTCCCATTCTCCCTGTGTCTGTCTCTGTTGCTTTTCGCTCACCAGGCCAGGTTCCCATTCCCTATAAGGCTCCCCTTGAGCCATCTGCACCTCCCCCTCCTCAGGTTTCCTCATCAACCTAACCAGTGCTCTCTCCCCATGTGCCACCAGTATCTCCCCGTCCCCAAGATTCCTCATCATCTTCCACCCCTTTGACCGCCTGTCTCTGTCCCCATCCCCGGGAACTGATATCTACACACCAACCAACCAGTTCCCCACCATTCCCTCTTACCCATCTGAGAAACTGGCCCCCAGATGCTACAGGCCACTCCTATCTTATTTATGTTCCCCTTTCCACTACTGATGTATGTAACTGGAAAAATCAGAACCCCCATTTTCTGAAAGGCCACAGGTCCTTTTGTCCCAAATGGAAACTGTTTTTCACTCTCTCCATCCCACTGGGATGACAGTCAGCAGATCCTTCTCACTCTCTTCTCTTCAGAGGAGCTCAAAGGGATCCCAACAGAGGCCCAAAAGGCTGCCCTATCTACATAGTTGGAGACAAAGAAAGAGAAACTTCAAGGCCTTTCAGATAGTCTTCCTGTGTTACAGCCAAATGGAGACACAAATGTCCCAGGTGGGAGGTAGGCACTGATTACATAGCACTAGTCTATCCTAGCTGTCATCAAAGCTGTCAGTCAAAAACCTACAAATGTGAGTAAGTCTATTGAGGTAGTGCAGGTGCCCACTGAGTCTCCTGGCGACTTCCAGGAAAGTCTCTGGGTGGTGTCCTGCAGTCTTACCCCTTGTGATCCCTTAGCTCCTGAAAATGCATGGGATGCAAACTTAGTTTTTGTTGCACAATTTGCCCAGAGATCTGGAAAACCCGGCTGCAGAAACTTGAAGGTTTCTCAAGCATGAGCTTCTAGAAATAGCCCAAAAGCAGATGTAAGATGCCCTGGCAGCAGATAAAACAGCCAGGAAGCAAGCAAAGAACCTGCTCACAGCTCTCCAAGCCTCAGCCCTGCCTCCCTGTCCCCCACATCACCACCACCACCCTACCAAGTGGTCAGCCATCCCAGTCACCTGCTCAGTTCCTTTTGTTTCTGCTCATTCAGACTTGTTCCTTTTTCAGTATGTTGATGACTTGCTCCTAGCTGCCAGCTTTTCACTAGATGCTTGTAATACACTAAGGATCTATTGCACTTGTTACAGGAGAAGGGCTCTAAATCTCTAGGAAAAAAGCCCATCTGTGTATCAATCAAGCCCTCTTCCTTAGATACTGTCTCCTGCACGGTAAGCTTGAGCTAACCTTACCTGGCCAAGTAGCCATTTTGCAAATCCTGCCCCAGCAGACCAGAAAACAGCTCCGGAAGTTTCTGGGAGTAGATGACTATGGCAGACTATGGGTGCCAGGGTTTGCAGACATTGTACAGCCCCTTTATCAAGAAACTGCAGGGACAGGGACACTAACCTGGGAGCAGACTCAATAAGAGGTATTTCAAACTTCCAAGAGAGCCCTTGCATCTCCCCCCTGTGCTTGCCCTCTGAGATGTGACCAAGCCATTCCACTGCTTGTATAGGAACAAAATTAAGTGGCCAAAGGAGCCCTCCCAATTATTTTCTTCCTCAACTGGATCTTTATCTTTTCCTTTGTCCTGTTTCAAATGTAGTAAATAAGTCTCCATAAAATAAATTTTAAAGGAATTGTTTTCAAAAATCAGTGCTGAGACAACTAGATTTCCATTTGCAAAATCAGTAATATGTAACCCTACTTTACACCACACATAAAAAATCATTCAAACCAGATTAATGGGTTAAATAGCACAGTCAGACCCACGTATGCTATATAGGAACATAAAGAAGTACAGCTCTAGGACTGCGGATGAATGTGGACATGGTGCATTGGATCTGACACAGAAAGCACCAGCAATGAAAGAACAAAAGAGAACTTAGGCTTTAAGGAAATTGAAACTTCTGCGTATCAAAAGACAGTATCATGAAAGTGAATAGAAAACACAAGAATGGAACACGATTGATAAGGATTTGATATCCAGAATACATATGCTTTATTTTTCCCCCAAACATTTTTATTGGCACATAATTTAGATATCATACAATTCAATATTTCAATCATCCAATGATGTCAAAGAGAATTTTACTATCATCACCACATCAATTTTAGAGGATCTTCCCCTCAAGGTTAAATCAGCTGTGAAATGAGTTGTGTAATCACAATCTGTTGTAATGTTCCCTTTCTTCTTCATTAAGCACTCCAGACCTGCCCTTTCCCACCCTGTCACCCACTGCTCACCCCAGTTTCCCCTGTATCCCGTTATATCAGGTAGTATCATGCCTGCATGCCTCCTGTGCTTCAAAGCTGGGAGATCCAACCGAAAATAATAAAAAACAAAGTCACGCTAAGGTGGTAAGGACAACATCATCATATTATAAAGACAAAAATACTAATAAGGTGTAAGATAGAAAAGACCCCCATGAACATTAAAAGAGTCAAGGAAGAAATATCTGTCATGGAACAAGTAAGAGATGTTAGCACCCAGAACAAATTCAGGAGCATCTACAGGGTGGTCAACTGGCCAAGCATCCAGTTCAGTCTGGCACAATCAAGATTGCAATGGTCTCTGCCTGATAATAAGACGGTGAAAGACTCTTTCTTTCCTATGGCCAGAGCAGATATGGCAGTGGCTCCTTTGACTAGATACTCTGCAGATGAGTTTGGGCTCCCAGCATCCCCCGCAGTCCTCCACAACGGAGTGCTCATACTTTTAGGTCTGATGCTTTTCTCTTTGCCATACTTGAATTTTGCAATTGTCATCTTTGGATCACACAAGCTGGTGTGCTTCTTCCATGTGGACTTAATTGGCATCTCACACAGATGACTGCTTGTTTGAATACAAGGTTTCAAGACCTCAGACACTATTCTGATTGATAGCCAGGCACCATCAGCTTTCTTCACCCCACTTTGCTGTAGCATCCTTATCTTCAGTGATCATTTAATGAAAGTGAGTATCAAGCAGGGCCATGATGTAAGAACTGATTATTCTTTAGTAGGAGCTAAGATTTAGTGAGAACCCAAAACCCGTTCCTGGGTTTCTCCTCCTTTTTTTTTTTTTTTTTTTTTTACATACTGCAGCTTGAGAATAGTTAATGCAAAAGTTATATCATTCCAAAGCTGAGTCATATCAAACATAATTGTACAAATGCTAACATAATCAGTCTCCAAACATACTTTCCCTCCCTGGACTTCTTGAAATAATCTCCCTCTTTTCACCTCCGCCCCTCTGTATCCCCCTCCCCGCAAACCCTTGTGATATTTTCTTTTCCTATAGGCTCAACATCCCTAGGATTCATTTATCAAAAAACAGAGAAACAAATAGCACAGCATCCAGAAGGTGATCCCCAATGGTGTCGCATCTCTGAGATATACCATGATATAAACAAGCATAAGAAGAATATAACAGAATGTCCATCACAGGATGGCTAGAATAATGTGTATCTTAATACAGCATACAGGACGTCTTCTCTGTCTACCAACCCACAGCACACTGCTCATGGTACAGCTGTCTTCTGCTTCCTCAGACACCATGAGTTTTCCATCTTAAGTCCTCAGGTTACAAATGTGTCTGGAGTAGAGTCCAGTTCACCCAGTGGAGTTCTCATATGGGGTCTCACAAATACAGCCTCTGGAACGTGACATTTGCCCTGAAGATACAGGATTCTATGTCCCAGCACCCTACAGCACCTGGCCTGAGTCCCCAGGATAACCATGATGCCCTAGGTCAATTCT